TTTGCACAAATCTAGCCTCAGAATCTACTGAATTATTCTAGGAAACTCAGAAACTGAACAAAACTGGATTTTTCACTCTTACCAAAATGTGAGTGTCTGGAAATTTCAAATTGTTGTGCAGAACCCCGTGACCACCAACTTCCCTGCTCAGTGCACATCCTGGTGCCGAGACGAGGATTCTACCTGTGACCTGGGAAGACTGAGACGACCTTGACCAATGTCAGAGCCATCATCTCTCCTTTCTTTTGTATTCTGCTGGTGTCAGTCGTAATGTTTTCTCTTTACTTTCTGATGTTGATTTGAGTAGTTTCTCCTCTTCTCCTAGTTAGTCCAGCTCAGTGTTTGTCATTTTTCATGTTTCAAAAGGAAGAAAAATGATTGATTTGTTGATATTTCTAGTGTTTTAGTTCTGATGTCATTTATCTCTCTCCTTGGCCTTAAAGGCTCATGAACACACTAATGAGAACTAGACTGAGCTGTTGCTTTTAATCCCACGTTCTTCCCAGACTCAGCGAAACCTGGGAGTGCGTCTCCACAGTGGACCAGGGAGCTGATGTGGCCCCCACTGCACGACTGGGATGAGACTCTCGGAGCACAGGCAGGGAGGTGTGAGGTGAGGGGGCTTTGTCTCCCAGGAACACGCCTCTTCTCCTTCCTCACTCTCAGATTCAGTCACGTCCATCAGGCTGGGGAATCACTTAATTTCCCTTTGATGTAGGGATGGAGGCCCAGGAAGGAGACTTGTCAAACTTGGGTTCTGCAGATGCTCTCTTGGAGAATGTGCTGGTTTCTTCCCCTCTGTCCTGAGTCTGCCACCTGGTAACTCCCCTATTCCACTGCACCGCACACGCACTCTGCACGGCCACTGCCCCACGCCCTGCAATGTGGCACCTGCTGCTTGGGCTTCTGGAGATCACCCCTGCCCTGGTTTACCCCCTGCCCCTGGTCTGCCCTCTAGTCCCTGCACAGGCCCCCGCATCACTTCCAATCCATGTTTCACCGACATGGGTTCTGACCTTAAATCCCTCTTCACTGTCTCTTTGATTCGGAGTCATGACTTTCATTCTTACAGCCCTTTGGCATCTTACCTCGACTCACGCACAGGAAATGGTTAACTCAGCAGGCCTGGGTTGTCCAAACCACGTGCATTCCTGAAAAAGTCCATTCTCGGAACTCACCCATGGTCCACTCCTGAGAGATGAGTTCTGATCGCTTGGCATACTGCTCCTGGTAGTAGCATTTTTCACGAACATTATTAAGGTGTGATTTACATGGAAATACTCTACAATATTGAACTTCTGGAACTGAATGAGTTTGGGTGCATGTGTACACCTAACCAACACCAGGACGTAAATATATCCATCGCCTCCCAAGGTTTCCTCCCATACCCTGTAAAATTATCATTTTATTGTTATCATCATTCATCTTGTTTTTATATTTGTGTGGGGGATGAATACACTGTAGTACTTGATCACACAATGTTCATGGCAAATACCCATTCATGCCCCAGGGGCTGCTGTCTGAGCGGTGGAGGTCAGTTGTGCAGGTGCTGTGACACCTGGGACTGACCCCAGTGAGCAGCACTGGCCACCAAGGCCCAGGTGGGCGTCCCTCAGGACTACCCCTCACAATTGTCATCATACATCACTGCTGGGAAAATTGAAGGTGGACAGGAGACTAAACTGGGAGAGCACACCTGGGCCCTACACCTGCTTTCCCAGGGAGTTAACACCTGTGCCTCCGCTGATTTTAATTCATATCATTTTCTGTAATAAACTGACCAAGAATATAATATCTTATTCTAAGACTTATATTTATATTGGTCATAGAGGATGAGGGTGATCTTGGAAGACTCAATATAACTACACCAGAAGTGGACTTTCCAGAAGAACCCTGACTGTTTGACACACAGCTGAAGCATCGCTTAGCAAAGTGAAGGATACCATGCTGAGGGGGGTTGAAAATCTGATGCCTGGATGCTCACAGAGTCACCTGGTGTTAGGCAGCACATGGGCTCCAATAAGTAGTGGAGGTAAAAGCTATCAATGGATGTATGAATGGTAGATCAACACTGTAGGAGTTCATTTCCCGAATACGAAGACAATGTAGAGATAATCAGAATTAGTCTAAATATACAATCTGCATATGTTCTAATAATAACTGAAATGAAAGCAAAATAGTTGCTCTCCATCCTGCCCTGTGCACACTGAGCCGAGGCTACAAGGGTCAGATCCACCATCATGATGAACAATTGTCCTGGAGAAAACTGCTCTGGCCCACGGTGTCAACGAAGGTTGTCCATATGCAGGGCAGGGGAGGGAAACATTAAAGTACGTAATCCAGAGAGTGCATGGAAGAGTCGCATGATTTTGTGACGTGATTTATGTCATTAATTGACCTCACCAGGTTACCAAGCAATATTCACTAGGGGACTGCGGGGTGACAGGCATGACAGAGTCTCCTTGGCTTTGTGCCACATGACTGAGGAGGCATCGTGTGCACTGTGGACGGACATCTTACAATAGGGCAATCACGGGTGGGTGCAGGTGATCCCGACACACGGCACGTTGTTCCTGGTGGGATAACTGACCCGGTACAGGAGGTAACAGACTGCTGACCCTGTAAGGTAAGTTACTTCCTTTGAAGAGCGAAGCGGACTCTCCAGATGGAGAACTGATTCCACACACCCAAGTCCTGCTGACATGGCTTTATGGAGTTGGGGTCGTGATCACGTGTTACACACCTTGCCCAGGCCACGGGAGACGACTGGGACACAGGGAAGCCCTTTTGGTTCTGCATTCCAGTTGCCCCTACTGTGCAAGGTCAGGAAACACCTTAGAAACTGTATAGATTTCTCTTACCCTCACAGTTCCCTTTGGGCCTCAGAGATACTAAGGACGGGAGGTGGATACAAAGGAGATTGGAACAGACGCAGGGGAGAAGGAAGGGACTCATCGCACCAAGGTGGGCGAATTTACATGGTTACTAAGGAAAGAGGTGGCTGAAGAGGACAGGGATGGGTCGACACAAATGTATAAAGCAGAACTACGAGATGCTGGGTGGAGCAATGGTCTGTCGACGTTCAGAAACCTAAGCACATATTCCCCGTTCATGGTTGTTTGCAGGAATGTGGAAATGCAGGAGACAAACTGACTTCAGCAACTTACCCTAATGCCATGGGTGCCGGTCTGGCAATTCAACAAGGTGAGGGTGGTCGGAGGGCTGGAACAACTGTCCTCACCCCCAGCTGAGTGCCCAGGCCCCAATCATGCTCATGTGCAAAGTGCCAGTTGGTGAAGAAGAGTGATAGTTCTTGTTCTGTGGCATTTATGCATGAACTCCTCACTTCACAGTCTTTCCAGGCTGCATTCTGTACGTTGTCTGGTTTTTTTCCCATATGTGACTCTATTCAGATTCTGTCAACCTCCTCCACAGGGTCACAGGGAAGGGGGGGGGGTGAGATGGAGCCACGATCAGAGTCCTGCGGGCACCTGACCAGAGTGTGTGGGGAGGTGGGGGGATTATTGGGACCTTTTCCTGCCCCTCCCAGGAGGTTCAGTTCAACCCCTGTTGCCCCACTGGTGCTTGGCTATGAACCTGAGAGTCTCCCCTGTGGGGCAGAGCAGGACAGATGCAAACTCGAATGAGGAACATCCCCTCTAAACCCACTGCACAGTGGGTCTCCCTCAGCATCCACCTGGGGTCCTCAACCAGTTTCAAATTTGCTGTTAGTCACATAACTTCCATTATCTGAAATATTAAATAAAATGTGCTAATCTACAGCTTCAGCAGTCGTGCTTTATGCATGACGATGATGTTGCTGTGGCTGTGAGAAGGAGAGCTTTTTCTCAGCTGTCTACTGCTCCCAGGTGAAGAGAAGCTTTGTCCTTAATAGGAAGGAATTGGAAACAATCCCAACATTAACCAGTTGATTAATAAACAAGCATTTTTTGTAAATGACCCATGAGAACACTCCATCATTAACCACAATGACTGTCTCACGCACACTGCAGCGTGGCTGCACCCACAGGATGTGCTGTGAGTAAAATAAGCAAAAAGCACCTGCTACCTGATTCCACTATTACAAATTCTAGAAAGTGCAAACAGATCTAAAGCACCATGAGCTACATTAACAGTTGCCTGGGTAAAGGGAGGGAGAGGGAAGGGGAAAGCAGGAGGAATTTTCGAAGTGAAAACATCAAGGGAAATCGATTTCCTCAACATCGCAGACAGGGTGGAGGTGCCCTCAGCATCTTTCACTTGCAAACTTTAACTATGTCAAGGCCACTGTATATCAACTATGCCTCATTAAAGTTAATAGGAACAACTAATAGATGATTTGGTAGGGAAGGAGCGATGGACAAATAGATAATATAAGTGAAACATTAGGTTCATTTATTTGGATTAATCCTCTGTTCCACGTTTTTTTATATTTTTTAGAAAAAAGACCAGGCAAGAAATTTGGTTTTTGTTCTTATTATAGAATCGGGGTTCTAAAAAGCACCCTAGACATGTCCAGCTTTGGCCTGCAGTGGGTTCCAAGGATGGCCTCATGGCCCAGACACTGAGATGAATTATTCCCAGATATGTGTTTCTGGACATATCACAAAATTACTATCTGTGTCTAGTGTTTACTTTTACATCTGCAAAATACATGCAAACTTGACACCTACAGCACAGGGTTTATGTGTGTCTGTAAATAGATAGGTGAACAGGAATTAACTATTTCTCACAGTACAGTTATGCAGTTTTTCTCTGGTCTTGCCCTCCCTGAGGTGTCCCTCCCCAGAACTAGCTATATAGCAGGGGACATGCAAATAGGGCCCTCCCTCTGCTCATGAAAACCAGCCCAGCTCTCACCCTGCAGCTCTGGGAGAGGAGCCCCAGCCCCGGCATTCCCAGGTGTCCCCATTCGGTGATCAAGACTGAACACAGAGACTCACCATGGAGTCTGGGCTCAGCTGGGTTTTCCTTGTTGCTCTGTTACAAGGTAATTCATGGAGAACTAGAGACATTGGGTGTGTGAGTGGATGTGAGTGAGAGAAACAGGGGTGTGTGTGGCAGTTTCTGACCAGGATGTGTCTGTGTTTGCAGGTGTCCAGTGTGAGGTGCAGCTGGTGGAGTCTGGGGGAGGCTTGGTCCAGCCTGGGGGTTCCCTGAGACTCTCCTGTGCAGCCTCTGGATTCACCTTCAGCAGCTATGGGATGAACTGGGCCCGCCAGGCTCCAGGGAAGGGGCTAGAGTGGGTCTCAACCATTAATTATGATGGTAGTAGCACAAGCTACGCAGACGCCGTGAAGGGCCGGTTCACCATCTCCAGAGACAACAGCAAGAACACGATTTATCTGCAAATGAACAGTCTGAGAGCCGAGGACACGGCCGTGTACTACTGTGCGAAAGACACAGTGAGGGGACATGAGTGTGAGCCCAGACACAAACATCCTGCTCGGGCGCGCGGGGCCGCCAGGGGTCGCGCGGTGCACAAGGAGCAGAGTCAGCCCAGGGCAGGTGCAGGTGGAGGGTAAGGTCTGGTTTCCGCTCAGGGTCGTGGCTTCCTCTCCATAAAACGGTTTCCTCTGGGGAACTTCTCTGAATCCACGATTCTGTGCTTCCCTCTGCAGTCTCTGAGTTAGATATGT